AATTTAAATTAAATTATAATAAAAAATTAAATTAAATAAATTACACAAAAAAAAGAACTTTTAAATAGTTAATTTGATACTAAGTTGATTGATTTATTTTCGAAATTTTATGATATCTTCAAATTTATATTTTATTCAATAATAAAAATATTATTCATTTTTCAAAACCACATAAAAACCGTATTACAACATCTACAGAGACGGAATAAAACAAAATATTAAAATCAAAATATGTTTTGCTGCATTGTGCGAGTACACTTCTAGTTATATTATATTATATATATATATATATATATATATTAACCTGAATTTCCAACCCGTTATGCGAGCCGACTAATCTTAGAACAAAGTGGGTAGACCGTGATCGTTTTCTTAAACATCAATATCTAAAGCTTAAACCTGGATTTCCAACCCGTCGCATTTGAACCTCCGTGGTCACAAGGGGATTTTCATTTTCTTTGGATTCAAACTTGGGACATTCAGACACAATTGACTTTTAGAGGTCAAGCTTAAACCAATTGGATACCATCCTTGCTATTTATATTAAATATTTTTTAAAATATTGGTGTGGAGAAAATAATGTTATTACATTCAAATTTGTAATTATGTGTATAAAAACGTTTAATAGAATTCAAAGTGAGAAATTTGGTCCAATGAAGGACAATAGAATTTGAATTGTCTTTTAACTAGTTTTCGTTGTGTTGACCGACCTAGGTTTATCACACGTTAGTCAAACCCATTTTTAGTAGGGGTGAGCAGCGGAACCGGGTATCTGGCTATGGAACCGGAACCGTCGGTTCCGGAACCGGAACCGATATGAGTGGTTTCGGTTCCTAAAATACGGAACCGATTGAGAATGGTTCCGGTTCCGGTTCTCAATTTTTTGGAACTGTTACCGGCCGGGTGCCCGGTATTTTTAAATAAAAAAATTATTATTTTTTAATACCAAATTTATATTAGGTTTACATCTTGAAAGTACGCCGTCATCTTCATTCTTCATCTAAATTCTTCATATAGAATGATTCGTATTTTTTTAAATTGTGTGTTCACTTGGATTCATAGTATGTAACGTTAAACTTTGAAAATTTACCATTATAGTATGTAATCGTTAAATTTTGAACATTTTCTATTAGTCTATTATGGTTTGTAATCGTTAAACAATATTTGTAACTATTATTATATATAATTTGTATTCTTGCTTATTTATTTAGTGTTTTGGCAACGTTTTATTTTTTATTTCTAAATAACAAAATTTTAATATTTTAGAAAGCGGGTACCCGGAATCGGAACCGGTTCCCGGCGGTTCCAGTTCCGGTTCCAAAAATTTAAGAACCGTTCTAACCGGTTCCGGTTCCAATATCTAAAAAACCGCCGGTTCCGGTTCCGGTTACGGTTCCGGTTCCTGTAAAAAAGGACAGGTACCCGCCTATGCTCACCCCTAATTTTTAGGGTGTCACCACAAAATTGTTAAATGTGTGATGTAAATTCTTTTCCGGTGTTACCATTTTTATCATAATCGGGTTAATAATTAAAAAAATGTGGGGTTGTTAACTACAAGGGTGGTGCCTGATTGGTTTGAGCTTGACTTCAAAGGTCAAAAATATCATGAGGTTCCAGGTTCAAATCTAAAGAGGAATAAAAATCCCCTTGTGGCCACGGAGGTTCAAATTCGATGACTCCGGATTATCTGCAAAGCAGATGGTCGTCCTGAGATTAGTCGGCTCACATAACGGGTTAGATATCCAGATTAATAAAAGAAATATAGGATTGTTTATAGTTAAGTGGTGAAAATTGAAAATTGAAAGGTGAGTTTTTACTTAAAAAACAAATTTTGATATGCTTTATTATGGAACCGTATGGTTTCAAATGAGTGTTTTTAGAAATGATTATGTGCTATTTAATTAGCATAAATTGTGTTTTGATACGTTATTATCAACTGATTGAAATAAATGTAACATAATCAGGAGATGTGTATATTGAGATAAATGTAACATAATCAGGAGAGATGTAAATTTTGAAATAAGGGTAGCATAATCAGGAGAGGAGTATACTGTGGAATAAAGGTGACATAATCAGTAAAGGCATATATTGGGATAATGGAGACATAATCAACTGTTTGTTAAATGAGATTTTGATCATATGGGTACTGTTATCACATCTGTGTGATGCGATGAGGCTGGTTTATCACATCCTTATGATGCGATAAGATTATGTTATCGCATCCTTGTGATGCGAGTGCAAGGAGTTATGTTATCGCATCTGAATGATGCGGGGGAAATGGGTTA